TGACAGCATTCATTTTAGGAGGAAGGGAAATACCTTTGTCATATGCTGGATGAACACGCGCCTGGTCACACTTATAACCAATATTCACAATGCCGACACTCACAACTTCGTTCGGCAACAAAAGGTCAGGAAGAGGGATGGCACTGCACTCCTTAGTCGAATTGAGCTGCAGCGACCTAACGCCATAGCGGACTACATGGACCACATGAGGGGCGTGGTTCATTTTGATCAGATGATCCAATACTATCACTTCACGCGGAAGACTCATAAATGGACGAAGAAAATCGTGCTGTATTTCCTGCAAATGGCACTGCACAATGCCTACGTGTTGTACAAGAAATATAGCACAGACGAAAAGAAGATGACATTGCTCGCGTTCCATGAGGTGCTGTTCAACGCCCTCATTCATTTCGATCCTCAGGAGTGGGCCGTAAGCGGAGATGCCATCCCCCATGCAACCGACCTGCCTCCGGCACTCGTCAGCGCACCCGTTACCCCACGCATCACCGTGCCCGAACCGCTGCCGCCACCGCCGCCACCAGCACCACCGCCGCCACCAGCACCACCACCGCCGCCACCGGAGACGAACAAGAAGCAGGGCCTTCAGATGTATCCACCACAAGAAGGCAGCGGCTTGCACCTGGCAGTGACGTGGACGACGAGGCACCAGATGACCCTTTTCCAAGCGCTCCTCCGAAGCACAAAAGGCCAAGGCTTGTTGACCCTTCGTGCAGGTTAACGCAAGTGACGGAGCATGCCATGACCTCCATAATGCCAAGTCAGCGACGATGCCGGGTGTGCTACAGGAACGGTCGGCGGCGTGACACCACCTGGGAATGCAACATATGCAAGATTCCTCTGTGTTTACGGGAGATTGCTTCGTTCTGTACCATTCCCAGAAGCAGTATTGGACCCCACCGCCCCGTCAACACGGAAGAAAGACACTGCTTCAAAGAGGACGGCCACGGGCTCCAAGAGGGAATTAACCTCTTTGGCTCTCCCCCTACCGATAAGAAATGAAGAGCCACAATATAAAAAATCTACAACCTGAGGTTGTAGTTTGGTAGGTGGGGTGGGGGGTGAATGAAAGAGCTCTTCAAGGAAGAAGGTGGTGAGTACAGCCATACTTTTGATTATATTATTACATCTATGTGTATATATGATTACATGTGTGTTTTGTCTTTATATTCATGCCAAAGAAATGGTATATCTTAGTAAATAACCTTAAGAAAGATAATATATATACTGACATTTACAGCTCGTTCTTTTTACCATTGAATATTTATTATTACGTGGCAAAGTTTTATATACCATTTCTTGGCAATTTAATCATTTATATAATGATTAAAACATGTATATATCTTCCAATCTTGATTTACAAGAACAATAATTTTTGTTTACACATAGTATACCAAAAAAAAAATTCGAATTTTTTAAATATAATTATCATTTCCTTTCAAAATGAGACCAAAATGAGTCCGATATCTTTAAAAACTGCGCTACTACGCCTCTCAAAATCAAATTATCGCTAACCACTTGCCAATTTTTCCTAGATTCAGCGGTGAACGAGAACACACCCTGTAACTTGCAGACGTCTCGGAACGGGGAAAGGGTTAAGATTAAGCGTTCCTTAAGACAGAGTTGACAGGGCGGGAGTTAGAGACGAGGCTACTTGCAGGAGGATCACATAAAATGTTACTGGTTCTGTTTCTGGTGGTTATCTTTTACCTTTTTTGATCGGTTAATTTAAATGCACTTTTACATCTTTCAAAACATGCAACAGGTGAAGCACAGCAAAGCGAACTCCTGTGCAAAGAATGTGGGAAGGGCAATTGCTTCAAAACAAAGATGACGGACAAAGCGGAACGCACCGGCGACGCGACCCTGCAAGCCTGCAAGCAGTGCGGGAAAGCACTTGAAGGCATCGCGTTGTGCACGGCAGTGGCTACCGATGGGAGGAAGCACGTGTGCAAGGAATGTGACAAGGGGTTTACAACGCGTTTTAGTTTAGAGACGCACATGAGAACACACACCGGTGAGAGGCCGCACGTGTGCAACGAGTGTGGGAAGAGGTTTACAACGCGTTTTACCTTAAGCACGCACGCTATTTCACACACGGGCGAGTGGCCGCACGTGTGCAAGGAATGTCAAAAGGGCTTTGCACAACGTTCCGATTTAGAGAAACACGCACGAATACACACCGGCGAAAAGCCGCACGTGTGCTACGAGTGTGGGAAGGGCTTTTCCCAACGTTCTACAATGGAGGCGCACATCAGAACACACACCGGCGAGAAGCCGCACGTGTGCAAGGAGTGTGGGAAGGGGTTTACAAAGCGGTGTAATTTAACCACACATTCTATATCACATACGGGCAAGTGGCCGTACGTGTGCACGGAGTGCGGAAAGGGTTTTGCACAACGTTCTGATTTAGAGAAACACACACGAATACACACCGGCGAGAAGCCGCACGTGTGCATGGAGTGTGGGAAGGGCTTTTCGCAACGTTCTACATTGGAGGCGCACATCAGAACACACACCGGCGAAAAGCCACACGTGTGTAAGGAATGTGGGAAGGGGTTTTCCAATCGTTACAATTTAGAGAAGCACGCGAGAACACACAATAATATTGTTGATGCAAAAACTATTGTCCTGCCATGTCCGTGGGCGTTGTGAACGGAGAATTATAGACAAGCCACAGTAGTGCGATTTTGGTCATGCATCCAAAACTGTGGATGATATAGTAAACTGCTCTAGTCTGCGCTACTTCAATGGAGTAGGAAAAGCAAAACGACACGAATTCTCTCCTGAAGCCCTCTCGTGGCTAGCTGGCCTCGATGTTAGCATTTAGCTCGTGAACGTATTTCTGTTCGCATGAATAGAGTTGAAACACAGATGATCAGACGCAAATTTACTGGTCCAGTATATTGCTTTGACGCATATTATTTTTAGAATATGCAATCACTCTAGCCTTCTATTCAAATCCTGAAGACGACTTGAATTATCCTCGATTTGTATGTCATTCTAACCTCTGTTGAATGTGTTTTGATCTGTGACTCCAAGGAATCATTTTCAATAAAACAATGTTTGCATTCCTAATCAAGTGTTTAATAGTACTGTTACAACAGGATGTGCCACCAATAGCAATGAAATGCACCAAAACCTTTCCATTGTGGGATTTCCAAACGCGGATTTGACCATTCGCGCTTTATTGAGGTACAGTTCAACCGATCGCGTGCCCTCTCCCCTGCCATGGCTCAACAATTTCGCGGTTGACTGCGAGATTCCTGCTGTACGCGTCGTAACTGCACTGCTCGTATTGACGCTGCCGCAGAAGAACAACACGCGGCGCCATCTTATCTCCCACGCGGCGCCATCTTGTCTCCCACGCGGCCCATCGTGGGTCCCAGGCCACGTGGCGGTCTTCCCCACCTCCAATGAGGGAGGAGGCAGCGAGGTTCAGCTGCCCACCGCGATTAGTCTTCCTGTCGTGTACAATACTGGACACTACATTGTTTTTTTCATTCTATAGGCGACCTCCTACACCTTACGACCTAAGTGGTAACTGGACAACGGTCACATGTCGACTTTCGTAAGTCGAACCCCTTATTTCTCATAGGGAACAAACCATTCCATACTTTTTAAAAGTACCAAAATTTACCACGAAAATAAATTGAAATAACTCCAAAAATATTTTTTGGTAAATTAACACAACTTTTACAAACATTAATTTAGTGAAAACAAACATACTCTTGGTTCTTTCGGTAAAGTCACGTAGGTATAAAATAAAATAAAAATCACGACGTTGCGGGTGCAACACAAGCGTCCGTCATCAGGTGGGTAAGCATGCCTTCCCACTTGTCCGGTCTGCGTGGAGAAATTGCAAATGTGAGGTAATGAAATAATAAAATGTTATTGCCTCTAATGCGTACCCTTCGTTGCTTATTCACGCTCTTAGTTGGTATCAAGTCCCATATATTCGGCAGCCCCAAAGATTCTTCCTCACTGGCCCATTCGTTTTTTTGTACCAGCCAAAATGAGCCAATGGGATTGGAAAAATCACGCGAATAAGTCACATCGCAAATCTATCAACTAATATAAGTTACACACGTAGACTTTCGCTACCAATATCATCCATAAGAGGTTTTGTTGGGTTAGAGCGCGTAAATATATCAATGTTGTGTCGTTAAAACCCGCCACCACCCGACAAAGCCAACTGGTAAGAGTTGTCACGTTAATAGAACATGCCAATTCGTCACTAGTACAGCACTAGTGTATAGTGTATGGTGTAGTATATAGTATTGTAGTGTATAGTGTAGTACTGTATAGTACAGCACTAGTGTATAGTGTAGTATATGGTGTAATGTATGGTGTAGTGTATAGTTTAGTGTATAGTGTAGTATAGTACAGCACTACGATAGGTATAGTAGTGTATGGTGTATAGTGAATAGTGTAGTGTATAGTGTAGTATACTAGTACAGCACTAGTGTATAGTGTAGTGTACAGTATATACTAGTACAGCACTAGTGTATAGTGTAGTGTATAGTGTAGTATACTAGTACAGCACTAGTTCCCCGCCAGCCAGCCCGCCAACACTCAGCCCACCAACACTCAGCCCCACCACACTCAGCCCCACCAACACTCAGCCCCGTGTCTTCCACCTTGTAAATGTTGGTTACAGGCAAGCGCCCAGACAGCGGGCCTCGCTCTGCTGATATAGCCTCTCGGGCCCGGCCCTTAATTGGACAGTGCCCTCCACCCCTAACTGTGGTTGTTCCACCTGATTAAGATTGCTTGTGTTGCGATCGAAACGGCGTGATTTGTTTTATTTGATTTCTACCTACGTGACTTTACCGAAAGAACCAAAGAGCATGGATTCCTGAAGTCACGAAAGCTTCAAATCAAGATTGTGTCACGTGTCTTTAACTCGATCTCAATGTGAACGTTTCAATATCCCCTCCACAAGACCCCACGGCCACCTGTTGCCAATCATCTCAATTTGTGTTTAATGAATTATCTACAAAGTACCCCACGGTCACCCGTTCTTAATTGTCTCAACGTGTACACTTTTACTATTTCTCTTTACAACCCAACATATGTAACGTAGGCTAAACGAACGATGTGAAATTGATGGTAAATAAATGGCGAGAGCCCGTAGGGTTGAAGATACTTTTATTTTATTTACAGCGCAGAAAATGAGAAACTTAAGTCGAGAGGCAAAGAACTCGACGACGAAGCGAGACATTAAAGAATCTAAACAGATCTGATGCTAAAATTGAACCTCTATGCCAGGGCAGGATTAACCCCTTAGGCTAATGAGGCCTTACGTCCTCATATTTTGTAGGCCCTCCAATCAACGGTAGCGTGTCCATGAGAAATGTTTTGCCTTTGAATAATGTTGACAATATTCGTGACCTTAAATTACGTCGATATCATTTGTGACTTTGAATCACGGTGACATCGTTCGTGACTTTGAATCACGATGACATAATTCGTTACTTTGAATCACGGTGACATCATTCGTGACTTTTAATCACGGTGACATCGTTCGTGACTTTGAATCACGATGACATCATTCGTGACTTTGAATCACGGTGACATCGTTCGTGACTTTGAATCACGGTGACATCTTTCATGACTTTGCCACAGGTAAAGCTAGGAGAGGAAATAAAATAATGTTCTCTTGAAGAAATTAGTGTCGTGAGCGAATCATATTACATGAATTTACCACGAGCCGAATGAATGTGTCAATTTTAGTGGTGAATAAATACATGTTTTTGATGACTTCATACTTTTTTACACGCTTTTATTTAACTCAATCTGTCTGTTGTCGTATCCTCAAATCTTGTAACTAAATTTTAACCCACTTCCCAATGTGGTATCGACTGCAAACTTGGGAAACGTACGTCATACTGATGACAATACTATATTCTATCAAAAAAATATATTTTTAACATTCATTTTTATATGCTATGTTTCGGCTTGGGTCTAATTGTCCACGCTCAACTCACGTTGGCTGTAAATCACCACGGCCCCTTACGTTATGCGGCCACTTCTTGGAGTCGCGGAGTTCTGCCATTACTTGTACGGTACATTTAATTAAAGCGTGTTTAAAAAAAAGTTTTTTTAAATATTACTTATTTTCGTTTACAATATGTAGTACGTTTACATACATAGGGCCTTCCCTCCTATTAGCCTTAGGCCGCTCATAACCTTAACCCGGCCGTATACTCTATGCTAATGCCATAAAATACTTAAACATGCGTATAGACCAGGGGTCGGCAACCTACGGCTCCGGAGCCGCATGCGGCTCTTTACGGGCTACTTTTTGACGATATGTACGTATGTACAGTATGTACTCAGATGCATTGCGGCTCTTGAAATACTGAATTTTATACCGAATTGGAAAGAAATGGCTCTTCTTGTTATTTTGGTTGCCGACCCCTGGTTTAGACTATTTGGCTGATATACATTTCCACATGATTAACAGGCGCTCGCGTCTGATTGGCTATTTACAATTCCAAGAATGCGCACGCAATTTGGCATCAATAGGCATTTCAATTCGCTGCTGCCCCAAAGTGATTGGGAGCCACCTTGGCATCTCCCTCTGTTCTCTTTAAACCGACTCTGTTTTAAAAAAAAATCACAAAAATGTTAAGTGCGAATGTAATTTTACAACAAAAATGCCATTATTATTAAGTATGTTTTTGTAAATCTGTACTGTAATTGTGAAATGCTGTTATGTTGTTGGGTGGGAAATCAACTTCTGATTGCAATACAGGGGGTGGTCCAGATGTCCTGTGACCCCCCCCCCCATTTAATTATCTAAAACGTATTATTTTTAAGTAAGGTTGGTTTCAAACTTAAATGAATATGCCAATAAATAAATACAATTCTAAGGGTCAATTAATTGGGGGTCACATGACATCTGAACCACCCTGTACACCGACTACCACTGCACTAAAAAAAATCAAAACAGGTAAAGCCCAATCTTGATTTGAAGCTTTCGTGACTGCAGGAATCCATACTCTTTGGTTCTTTCGGGAAAGTCACGTAGGTAGAAATAAAATAAAACAAATCACGACGTTTCGATCGTAACATAAGCGTTCGTCATCAGGCAAAGGAGTCAGCCTCTAAAAACAGTTTGCCTTTAGAGGCAGACTCCTTTGCCTGATGACGAACGTTTGTGTTGCTATCGAAACGTCGTGATTTGTTTATTTTATTTCTAACTACGTGACTTTACTGAAAGAACCAAAGAGTAGCTAAAGCCCACTGAGGCTGCTCTTTTCCAGGATAGACGTGGCCATCA